TAACTTTTAGGATTCACAAAAATATCCCTATTTATGCCTTTGATTCAAATGGAAAACCTACATATGCTAGAACTGATGATTCTGGCCATGATTTTTGGGATGTTTGTTCTTGCAGTAGTTGTTTGAGTGCTTTGGTGGAAAACGCTAGGACTACCATCAGACTTTGATGATTCAGATGTACCGACCATGGTAGCAAATCTGGGAACTCCTTGATTTGCAAATATCATCTCAAATTAAAAGTATCTTGTCATTTTGTATGAGTTGTCTGTCATCTTGTTATACAAGTATAACAAGACCACCCAATATCTGAAACAGTTTCTTTGAAGACTAGCAATCCTATCATTAGCTATTGATGAATATCCTTTAGGGGTGTGATTTTTTCTCTATGTATCTTTGAACGTACAAAAAATATATAAAGAAATTCTCAACATGCATTTGACACGTAATACTCACTATCCGAGTTGTAATTGAAATAGATCGAGAAAATGGACGACGCATAGACAAATTTGAAACAATATCAAAGAGGCCAAAGGTCCAAAATGAGATGAGTCAAAAATCAACCATGACTTCATTGATTGATCACCGAGCAAAAAAGGCACTTTACGCAACATGGAATTTATCTTATACAATATCTTTAATGAAGTTCTATTCAGTACATCAATTATCCTTTATTTTATATTTGCTTCTTGTTAAACGAACTCTAGACGGAAAAATTAAATTTCGTGGTACTATAATTATTCAATGGTTGGTCAAGGGAAGATTCAAGATTGAAGTTTTTAAAAAGACATCAATTATCGATATTTAGATATGGTGACTGAAATAGGGCATAATATTATGAATTCAGAAGAAAGACAGGCAAGATTACTCACAAAATTAATTCACTCACTTTATATAAATAAAGGAAAAATTGACATATGGGTTTCTGAGCAAATGGTCCCTAATCTTTAAATCTTAGTGCAAACATCGCTAAATTTTTAATTAATGGACCAAATTAAATATTAATCTTTTCGCATGTATGGTTTCGATCCAATTGACGATTAAAAATATCAAACTTTTGATAGAAGGACTAAAATGTTCTTACTTTTAGTTAAATAAATAAAAATGATGCCTTGAAAGCAAAATAGAAGATGTTTAGTTGATGCTAAAATGAAAAAACAAGACTTTCAATTTACACAACGTTGATGACTAATAAGTTCAAAATTGATTTTCAATGATTTTTAAGGATTGCTATTTAG